CGGGGGATACCTTTATAGGATCATCCGCGCCTGGGCAGGTGAAGGTGTGCAAGCTTTCGAGCTCCCCGATTCTCTGTGCTCAGGTGAGACGTGCGGAGGGGGCAGAAGAGTGTCCGAAGATTGGGAAACTGAGGAAGAGGAAGAGGGGGTCGAATCGTTTTCTTCTTTTGGTTATCCCGAGTGAGCATCCAGATTATCTTCACAAGACAGCCCCAAACAGGCCACTTATAAACACAGTGGCTGCCCTTGCGCTGGGCGCTACTTTGGGTGGGCTTTAAGCGGGGCGAATTAATTTGGGGCACAGCCCATCGATTTGTTGGGCGCGTTGTGCAAACCGAGAAGGTGGGTTTATTCCGTAATGAGGCAAAGCACGTTGAATGAACACCGTCTAAGAGCGCCAGAGAGGGCAGAAGAGTGATGGAGAGCCAGGCACTAGGGGAGGGGTAGACGGCCCAGGTAAAGGAAGGTTGAATTCTCACAGTGCCGAGAGTTGTGTAGAAGGAGGATTCCTGGAATTTGCGAGGGTTTTTTTTCTCCAAACTTCACTTATGCGTTAAACTTTTCTTTGAAATGGAACAAGGCAGCCCACTTCCTTCTTGCAACTGGTAATTCTAAGAGAACAGGGAGGTGAAAATGGTTGTGGCTCGCAAGGAGTTTTCAGGTGAAAGTCATTGGATTTCTGATGTGCATAAACGATTATAATTGATACACAGCACTGAGTGGTTAGTGTATGTTTTGTCTTGGGCTATTATGATGCCTGAAGGGCAGTGCACGAGAGTATTAAAAGAAAAAGAATTTCATCACAGAAGCACTTCTAAAGTTATGGGACTATAGGAAGAGCTTTTATTAAGAAAGCCATAGAGCAGCCTTCCAGGAGAGACATGTATATCGTTTGTGAGTTTGTAAGCAGAAATCAGATTTATAGTAATTGCTGTGTGCCTTTACTAGGCCATCACAAAAAGTATGCAAATATTTGATATCTCCAGATCTCATGAGGCAAGATATAAAAATAATGGCTAGTCACACATTTTGTGTAAACATACGGTACAACCTGTGTAATACAGGTAATCCTCGACTTACAACCATTCATTAGTGACTGTTCGAAGTTATGACAGCTGAAAAAGTGACTTGTGACCAATCCTCGCACTTACAACCATTGCAGCATCCCCACAGTGACATGATCAAAATTCAGGTGCTTGGCAACTGGCATGTATTTTACAATGGTTGCAGCACCCTGGGGTTGTGTGATCACCATTTGCGACCTTCCCAGCCAGCTTCTGACAAGTAAAATCAATGGGGGAACCATGTGATTCGCTTAACGACCACATGATTCACTTAACAACTGCTGCAAAAATGTTGTGAAATCGGGTGCTGTCACATGATGCTTTGCTTAATGACCGCACCACTTAACAACAGATTTTCCAGTCCCTATTGTGGTTGTAAGTTGAGGACTACCTGTAAGATGAATAACATTAGTTATATTTACCTTTTTCTTAGGAAAATCAGTTTATTATTTAACAAACACATGTAACCTGCTTGAATAATAATACCCAACAATGCTTGCAACTAATATAATAAAGATATACACACACACACACACACACACACACACACACAAATTAGGATAAGCATTTGGATGGTGATGCTTTTTTAAAAAAATATCCAGCTGATGTTCTTTTAGTCAAAGACAGAAATAATAGTTCTGGTTGTAAGTTGTTCTTAAATATAGATATTTAAATTCTAAAATGTGTCAGTTTGAAATTTTCTGAACTTCTTACTTTGGTGCTTAAGTTTTTTTTATTGTTGGATTCATATGTCAGACCACTACTTTGTAGTTGTAGTATAGCCATTAAGTGAATCATATTGTTTATAATAGAATTAGTCTTTGATTTTGTTCAGACATGAATGACACCATGTTTTTCGTAAGGGTTGTATGGAAATAGCCTTGGCAAATGGGACTATGATCTCTCTAAATTGGCACTATATCTTTAGTGGCAGTCAGTTAAACCATATATATGGAGGATCTGCACGTTTGTGTGTTGCCAGCATCTGGTATTCAGTTACAGATGTTCCTCAGCTTGTGTAACACCGAACCCAATGGAAGCATTTATTCCCATCTATGGGTGAGATCTTTTTATTAAGAAATGCTTTGTATTTTTTTTTTTTATCTTGAACAGGCAAAAGGTTGGAGATATATGGTGACATACCCATGTTTGGGGAAAGTCTAAGGGAGGAAGAATTTGTTTGTTTCTCTTTCTGTTCCCAAAAAACAAGATTGGGGAATCAAGCAACTTATGGTATCAGTTGATTCGTGATACCAGGTTCTGTTATAAGCAGCAACTTTAAATTTGTTGACTTATGTCTTACAATGATTTTTTTTACCTGTTAAAAGGGCCAGAGGAAGAGATGTCCATTTTAAAATTATTTATCTTTGATTATAGTTAAAGTTAAAAATCAGTCTCAGTTTATGTCCAAAAGGGTTTTTAACTCACCACAGTTTCAAGGAAACATTAACTGATAACACCTTTTTGATGATAGAAAAATGGATATATATTAGCAGCATAAAAATATAGGTAGCTTCTTAGGAAAAAAATATCAGTAATATAGTACCTCTATTATGGCCAGTTAAAATATCGTAAACTAACAAGCTAGCTTTCAGGTTCATTGAAAGCTTGCTCACTCATTATTTTAGCTAGAATGAAGAAATGATATTGTTGCTTTAGAATTCCTTTGATTAGGAGCTCATTGGGGCTTTGTAGCAAGCTCAACTCTGAGAAATGTCATTTCTGAGTACATAAATATTATTAATATTGCATAGCTTCCCTTTGTTAACAGAGAATGCAGCTGAAATTCCATTCACCATTTTGAACTGCTTCACTCTTCGTGCAAAGTTGGGTAGAGAATTATATTTGTTTTTTAGCTCATTTGATTCTCATTCTAATAAAGGAAGGTAGTTAATGCCAAGTTCCAAGTTTTTTGTTTTTAACTATGGCTGACCAAATTGCTCCAGAAGCTCACAAACTGAGTGTGATGGAAATTCTTTACTGCCTTTGAACATGAATTTAATCCCTTTAAAAAACCATGCCAATTAGTGACTGATGCTTCAGTTTGTGGTAACATATTTCATAAGCTTAATTTAAAATGCTTTATCAAGTTCTTTCTCTATTGTGTGCTGAATTAACTGCTGATAAACTTTCTTGTGGCCCCAAAGAGATGTCTATTCAATATTCAATATTTTATAAATATTTCTCATGTCTTTTCCTAATCTTTTAACAAATGCTCTTAATCTTTCTTGGCTTATCTTTTTTGTTGACTTAAATATAAGCCTCTGATGAAGCCTGTATTCAGCCTTTCCACCAATAATTTAGACAGCAGCTAGTTTTGTTAGTTGTAAGTTAGTAGATCCTTTTTAAAAATTATACTGGTTACTTTCCAGTCCCCTAGTAAGAAAACTAGTTTCACTGATGTTGGGAATTCTTTGTTAAAGCACTGTGCCGTGTCTTAAATTCAAGCTAGGTTCTCCTTTTACCCAACATTCAGATACAGGTAGTTACGGATGTACAGCCTGGGTTACAGATGACCCATAGTTAAGAATGGAGACAGTTGTAGCAGAATTTGAGTTAAATACACAATGATTCATGTTAAATACACAATAGTTCAAGTTCATTATGCAATACTACTTATACAGTATTATACAATTATACTGTTCCGGCTTACATATAAATTTGACTTAAGCACAGACCTTGGGAACGGAACTCATTGTTAAACTGGGGATTACCTGTACTGGTATTGTGTGTGATTTGGATCAGGAACTGATTGATTGATTTGAATTTACAGTCACGGACCAGAAGGAAAAGAGAGGGATAGCAATTCAATCTGGTATAATGTGCAGAACCTGGGAAAAATATTACTGAACATTTTATATTGGTACCCAGCTAGCTATTTATAGATTGGAACAAATACCCTGAGTTGTCATTGTTTTAATTTTTGATGTATCGATGTCCTGGAATCTGGACATTTTTCTGACTTGTCAAAGTTTAGTTATTAAACTTGTTACTTCCTGTGCTGTCTTTTGTAAATTAGGCCATGGCATGGAATAGAAGCGAGAAAAACATTATGGTTCCTTATCTATGAGATGGTGGACATACCTGCCATTTTGTACCCCAGCCTTCTCAGCTTCTTGTCAACCCAGTAATAGACATATTAGGATAGTTATCTAGCATAAAATCAGACATAATTAAGATAATTGTTTCTCAGCAGAATCAAGTGCTCTTAACATTTGTGTAGGGTTTTTCCTTAAATGAGTTCATCATAACTTCCTTTTTAATTTGTGGCTAAACTATAGAAATGTTGTTATTGCCTTTGAGTCAGTTTTTGACTTCAGGTAACTGCCTGGACTAGTCTCTTCAGTTTTCTTGGCAAGGATTTTTGGAAGTGGTTTGCCATTGCCTCCTTCCTAGGGCTGAGAGAGATTGATCCAAGGTCACCCAGCTGGCTTTGTGCCTAAGGCGGGACTAGAATATATGGTCTCCTGGTTTCTAGCTTGATGCCTTAACCACTACACCAAACTGGCTCTCTTCTAGAATGATTACACAGGGTAAAACAAAGCTTGGTAGATCCTGTTCTCCAGCATGTGTCTGGCAACAAATATCAAAAGCATCTCATAGATGCACCAATGGCCTATATTGGAACCATCAGTGGGAAGGTCAAGATTTTGGCCAATTGGCTTATGAAATCTCCCCTTCTTCCAAAGGATGTTCAACAA